GATGGGTAGCCCCCTTGGTCCTATCCTGGCTGATATTTTCATGGGTATGATTGAAGCACAGCTGGACGACGCAATCAGGGGAACATTTTTCTACAAAAAATTCATAAACTAAAAATGCATCTCACAAGCTACCCTTAGACCCGGGTTACGATGACCTTTGGCATGTGATCTGTTCAATTTCGTCGGAGCTCTAGGACAAGTGAAAGTATCGGTCATTCATTCACACTGGTGCGTCCGCGTTACGGTCGCTCGGATCTGATATCTCACTCCACTCATCCGTTTACCAGTGAATCGCGATTATCGTTCACCCGTTTGCACGTTAGTGCTGCAGAGCCCATCGATAACATGATAGACCGATAGAATCACCGTGGCTTTGGTGACCACTGTAGCAAAAATGACAACATTCGAGTACCCCACAGTCCAGTTCAATGCCCCACAGAATAGTAAAAATACCGTTGGAGACTACAAAGATGTACTTTTAACAAAATCGTAAATCGTCGTTTGTTTCAGTTTAGCTCTCCTTTGGAAATCAACAAGGGCGCTGTATTAATCAGTTGTACACTCCAAGCATTAGACAAGGGAAACAGGTTCAATTAACCCAATAAATTCTGCGCCTCTATGATTGAGAAAATTTCATCATCATCATCATCATCATCATGCAGCGAAATACAGTGAAGCGAACCTCACTGACCGCTGCCAAATTCACAATGCATACAAGGTTAGTGGTGAAATTTAAGTTGGACAGGGGTTGGATCTATTTTCAGGAAGGGAGAAGAAGATGAGCCACTATGTTCCACACACAGAGTACGCAATCGAACTCTGCATACATATCGGTTCAAGCATTCTGACCTGATAATAAACGACAACAAGAACGCCAGTTGTGGAGTCTTTCGGACTCCAACCTTGAAGGCGAGAGACACCTACTCTACCTAATGGCTCTGTGAATTTCTTCATGCCTCGTCTCCACGTCATCTGTTGACCTCCACATCGTTTTCTCCAGCCCGGATTAGCTACAGCGAATAAAGCGCAGTGCGGCAGACGATGGCTGGGCATACGCAATACGTGCCCTAGCCACCGAAGCCTAGTAATCTGAATTCAGTATACCTGACAGACTCCCAAACACACGACGGCTTACCTCCACGTTACTAACCCGTTCGCTCCATCCAACATGGGCTAAACTGCGTAGACATTAATAATCGAAAACCTCTAGTCGATGGATATCTTCTACTGGCAAATTTGGGGTCTCATAACCATAAAGCAGGACTGAACGAACGCTAGCACAATATACACGACCTTTCAGCTTCAGTGAAACGTCGCGTCTACGCCAAAGGTGTTTCAGTCCTGCGTATACTGCTCGAGCCTTGGAAATGCGGGCGGCTATCTCCTTTGCTGCACTACCGTCATTGGTCACGCAACTACCTAAGTAGGAAAAGTAATCCACCACAACTAGATCCTGGCCATTTAGTGTCAGAGTGGGATTAGACGAAACCCAGTCCTGCAGCAGTACTTGGCACTTTGAAGGTGCAATACAAATACCGGATGTGGCCACTGCACTTGTTAATCTATCAAAAGATTCAGTCATTTGTCTGATAAGCGCTCAGAAGGTCGTTAGCTTCCCGTGTCCGTATCCTCACCAGAGTATCAACCTTGGATTAGCCCATTGGATTGTTCAAAGGCACCAGGACATAACAGCTGTCCAGCAACCAAAACCGGCACACGAAAGTGCATGGTTGTTACAACTGAAACTGAACTACCATTGCTACTACTCATAATACTTTTATCACTACTGTTTGCATTTCATGTTTATGGTGAAGTGTTTAGTGGACATCGCAGTGATAGTTCGCCATGCAAACGGCCCATCAACAACCGAAGTACTATTTACCGTGCTAATCATTTGGTACCGACCTGCTCCTATCTGTTCACCAGTATGTTTCCCCCGCCTGACAATTTGATCAGTCATCATATTGGTATTACCGTTGTGG